GGAGTATTCTATGGCGCATCAAATCTTAGAAGCACCACACTTGGACCCATGAGGTGGGTGGGGGCGCCGATTTACGAAAAATAACTTTCTCAAGTATGTCAAGATAAAAAAAATCCCAGTGCAATAATCATAAAAAGAGAACAGTGACTGCTAGTAATTATTGAAAAGCGGGTTGCGTAATGTAGGATATCGAAGATGGACCGGCAGCGCAGGCTCGTCGAGCAGAACGGAGGGCATCGTTGAAGCTGTTGGAAGAGCACGCGGAAGGTATGCGTAGTCTGGTGGATTGGATCTTCGGCGCCGGCGAGAAGTGGCTTCTCACTCTGCACGAGATCGGCGAATCCCATGACGACGCGAAGCAACTGCTCAAGGAGCACAACGAACTGGAGGCCAAATCCCGGGTTCGTCCCGTTTCAAATAAGCCCGCTTAATAAAGACACACGTTTTGCGTTCCGAAACAGCACTTTGCACAGATCTTTGCAAGCAGCACTTTATAAAGATTTAAGCGCTGCGATTACCGTCGCGTAAATGCGGTGGTCGCCGCCGACGCTTGTGGACAAGTTAAAGTCAAAACCCACTAACTTCATTTACAAAGCTGGCAAAATTCTCCGTTACTTTGACCAAGGATGCATCGCCTATTGGCCAGCTGCTGGCGATTTTAGCTTCCCTTGCTTCATCTATAGGGTTTACTAATGATTTTTGACCAGAAAATGTTCACGGCGAAAGCAGTATTCGATCTTCAGCACTTTACTGAAAGTGGAGCTGGTCCAGCAGATTCAGAATCTTCATAAACAGTGATAGGGAAGTGAAGTATTTGCAAGAGGGTGATTTATAGGAGGTGGAGGCACAATCGCGGGATCTGGTGGCACTCGGGCGAGAGCTGGAGCGCGAGTTCCCGAAACATGCAGCAGCATTGCAGCAAAGTACCGAAAGAGTGGAGCAGGTGACACGAGCATTTCGCGCCAGAGTGGCACGTCAGAAAGAGATTGCGCAGCGATCCGTCTGTTTCTACCAGATGCTTACCGAGGTCAGGCTTTTGCTTTTCCCGGAGCCGGTAGGGTAGTTCATCTGGGCTTTGATAAGCACATATCATTATCATCACCACGGAGTTCGCTCTGGTTACCAGCGTGGAATTCCCGATATTATCAGTGGGCAGCTATGTCTGAACTTCAGTGATCTCAAAACATACATAAAAATGTCTGGTGTTTTTTCAAGGGGAGTTTTACTTCTCGGGGAATGCTACGATACATCGATTATTGTCACATCAAGCGAAGTTGCAATATCAAGTTGTTGTCCACAAAAAATGTTGGAATGCTTAACCAATTCGCCTAAATCCACTTGTGCTCTACACACCTCAGCTGCTCTGCGCTTCAGCTAATACCGCGGATATGAGTTGAGGCTGTGCAAAAATATTATCAGCTCCATTTCTGGTGCAGTCAAATTGTTAGACATTAAACATACCCCAAGATGTGCACTATCCAGAATAAATGCTATTTTCCATGCTTTTAGTTTTCACGGGGCACGGATCTGTTGCTAGAATCGTTGTGCACCGAAGTGAAAGCGACCGATATTTCAAGTGCGGAAATGGAGCGAAACGCGGTGGAAGCAAAAGTTGACGAAATGGGTTATTTCACAGTTATTTCTAAATCCTCAATCTTAACTGTGTGAAATTTGTCGTCTTCGAGCAGTTAACTTATATACATCAAATTGATGCAGATATGCAACTCTGGGGATGAAAGGCTTGGAAAAGCTGCGCTCGGCATGTGAGAACATCCCAATAATTTACATCACTAACATATAGGATACCCACACTGCATGATATTCTTAGGCTGTTATTACATCTCATACATGAGGATTTCTTCAGGAAATACCATTCAGTGTCATTTTTTCATCAAAAATTTCTCAGAGATTTCTTGGTGAGAGAATATTTTCAATAATTTCTTTTTTTTTTTTTTGTGGGAGGAGGGGAGGGGGAGGGGTGACGAGGATAGGGGAGATCGGCGGCACTGCCGGTTGGATAGTGCCCCCATCCCCTTGCAGCAGCAGCTTCCGCTGTTTACAACAAATGCGGTGTCGTTCCCGCCAAGACGGCAGCCCAGCAGCCCGGCAATATAGCTTCGGCTGTCCGCAGATGGCGGGGCTGGGAAAGGGTGAGTGCCCTACTCTGACGAAATCCGCGACGAAAGATGCTGCTGGCGGG